ATACCGATTTTTTTTTAAGAACTATAATTGACAGCATACACAAACAAAAATCTACTTTTCTTCAACGCAAAGTTTTATTTTCATAAAAAAACCAAGTAAAAAGTCAGTAATAAAATAAGAACACAAAAATTGCAAACAACAGCACAAATAAATGCAATAGAATAATTGTGTATGTATCTGAACGTTTTAGCGCATTTAGCCACTCATTTTGGTATTTGCGGCTCACAAGCTGTTTGAGACTGAGCGCGGATTGTGCGCTCCACTAATATAGATCAGTGGTGGTGCGCGCGCGTTTGGTGTAAGCGCGAAACCTGCGGGAATGACTAAAATAGCGCGCAATACAAGCACTATTTAACCGGAGCGAATGAGACGTGTGTGAGAGCGAAGGGGTCGTCAGAGAGAAGAGAGCGAGAATGAGCGGCTGACGTTATTGCCCGTGCCGCTGGTAACAAAACGGATCGGCTCGGAATCGGAAAGAAGTGAGACTGACCGACCGATCACCGATCCGGGCCGATTCCGATCCCTGGCCGATCGATCGGTGCATCTCTACGGCAGATACTGCTTTCTGTGATCCGGCGATCGGCCTCAAAAATCCTGATCGGAGCACCCCTAAACACGAGTGTGTTTTATCTGAAGCGTGTGAGCTGAGAGAGCATGTGACTCACCTGCATATGCGCAGACGTCCACCAATGTGTTGCTGAAGCTGCGGAAGGGTTCGGGAACGACTTGAAGAGCTGCTAGAGTCGTCTCGATCGCCTCACCTTTACCTGCATTCAAAATATATGCAAGCCATTAGCAAACCGTAAAACCTGCAATTATATCAAATGCTGTGTTTCAGAGTGCAGCGCGGCACTGGGTTCATTTACACACGATCCGGTGTTTTGAGCTCCTCAGTTCACAGTAAATGCTGCTCTAAAATACAAACTTGATGCTTTAAGAAATTAAGCCTTAAAAATTTGTATTGTATATTGTAATTTTCAATAATTATTATATTACATTATTTTTCTTAAAAACTCTTAAAAAGTTATTTATTTTACAGTGAGGTAAGTTTAAATTAACTTAAAGAAAGTGAGAAAATATAAAACTATTTTATGTATCTTATATATATATATATGCACAGTAGAATGTACTTCTAGTAATAATCATACAATGTTTTTATTTTTAAAATGTTTTAAGTAATAACAATTTTCACTGATGTTTTAATTTAAACAGTAAACTTTAAGATTAAATAGTTATAGTCTTGTTTTTAAATTGATTTTTTTTTAATGTTTGAAAATGAAGACATCATAAATAAGTCATAAGTACTGTAATTTTACAATACAAAACAAAAATAATTTTTTATTGTTATTATTATATTATATATTAAATGCCCAGTTTTTTATTTTACAGTGAAATATTGCAATTGTAATACTTATTTTGTGTAACATTTTCTAATAAACAAATTCTATTTATAATTTTTTTTATCATAATAAAAACAATAAATTGTTTTAATGTTATTGTTTTTAATCTCAGTAAGCTGTATTTCTGGTTAAATAATGGACAAACAAAACTAAACTATTTAAAATGGCTAATCATAAATAATAACTGACATTATTATTATTTTATAGTTACACTGATACTATGGCCAAATTGTGCCCTACGAACAAGCACAGCAAACCTGAAGCTTGCAGGAAAAAATAAATAAATTGCAATTAGATAATTTCCTCAAACTGCAACACCTCAGAAGTTGTTACTGTATGTACTGTATTGTATTTTCTTCTTACCCAGATGGTTGAGTCCGAGGCCGAGGGGCAGCCAGCGAGCGAACGTGTCTTTGAGCTCCTGCTCGCTCTTCTCCATGATGGTCTGCAGGATGGTGGAGGTGACATCACCGTTACAGGAACCCACAGCGATCATGCCACACGCCAGCGCCGTCACTCCCGCCACCTGCAGAAACACACACGGACTCATCAGACAGACCCACACCCACACCCACCCACACATACACACTCCCACTCCCACTCCCACTCCCACTCTCACACACACACACCCACTCCCACTCCCACTCCCACTCTCACACACACACACTCACACTCACACACACACACACACACACACTCACACTCACACACACACACACTCACACA